GCTGGGAGTGTGGTTGAGCAGTGTGATGAGGATGAGATAGCACACTGCTACTGGGCAGCCGTCCCTGAGCCCAAGACGTTAGCCGAGGCATTGAGCGGGCCCAACGCTGAGAAGTGGAAGCAGAGTGTGAAGGAGGAGTATGACTCTCTGCTGGAGAATGAGACGTGGGAGCTGTGTGAGCTGCGTCCTGGGAAGAAGGCCATTTCTAAGGGGTTCCAACAGACAAAGGGGAAGGATTTTGATGATATCTATGCTCCTGTAGGGAAAGGCACTACACTGAGGACGATGTTGGCAATGGCTGCAAACCGTGGCTGGAAGATCAAGCACATGGACATAATCACTGCATTCCTCAATGGAATCATTCTGGAGGAGCTGTACATGCTGCAGCCTGAGGGGGTGGATGATGGGAGCGGCAGGGTGTGCAGGCTCAAGAAGGCCATCTATGGCCTGAAGCAGGCTCCTCGCGCATGGTACCACAAGCTGGAGGAGACACTGCTGGTCGGGGGGTTCAAGAAGAGCGAGTGTGATCACAGCCTGTTCCTGCTGCAAGAGAAGGAGCACTTCCTCATGCTCCTGGTGTACGTGGACGACATCCTGCTCTTCTCTGAGTCGTCTGCAATGATTGAACGTGTGGAGGAGATGCTGGAAATGCAGTTCAAGTGCTCCAAGATGGGAGATGTGAAGTACTACCTTGGGATGCATGTGGAGAGGGACCTTGACAAGGGAGTGTTGAGGTTGCACTAGAGAAAGTATTGTGAGGGGCTGGCTGAGAAGTATGGGCTGCAAGATGGAGGAAAGCCAGCCACCCCACTGCCTTCGGGGTTCACTGTGGAGCCCTGTGCTGATGAGGAGGTGGTGGGTGAGAGTGACAGGAAACTTTTTCATTCCATGGTTGGGGCACTCAACTATGCGGCTAACCACACACGGCCTGACATTGCCTTTGCAACATCTAGGTTTGCCAGTGTGGTTTCACGCCCCGGTCATGAGCAGCTAGAAGCGGCCAAGAGGTTGGTCCGCTATGTGAGTGCAACGGCATCAGTGGGTTTGGAGTACAGTGCTGTGAGGCAGAGGCTGCAGAGGGGTGCAGCTGATTTGAGCAAGGGGGAGATGCTCCTGACCTGCTACACTGACGCTAGCTTCAACTCGGTGAAAGCGGATGGCACCAGCATTGGAGGCTATGTGTGCCTCTCTGTAGGTGGTGCACTGAGCTGGCGCAGCAAGAAGCAGAACGAGGTGGGGCTGTCCTCGTGTGAGACCGAGTACATGGCCCTTCATCATGGGGCAAAGGAGGTGGTGTGGCTGAGGCGTTTGTTGGAGGAAATCGGAGTGTGTCAGAGGGAGCCGACTGTGATTTTCTGTGACAATGAGTCGGCGGTGAAGCTTGCAAAGAATGCCTGTCTTCATGGCTTGACAAAGCACATCAGGCCAAAAAGGCATTGGACAAGGAGGCTTCTGGACAAGGAGGTGCGGCTGGAGATTGTGAAGACCCAGCAGCAGGTAGCTGACATTCTCACCAAACGCCTGGCAGAACCTGAGCATTGGAAGGGCATGAAGCTTGCTGGGATGAGTGTGCATTGAGGGTGCATGCTTCAGCTATGGCATGTGGGATAATGGTTGGCAGCCAGAGGGGGAGTTTGTTATGTGATGCTATCATTTGCATTCACGTCTGTCTGCCTCCCATCATGTGTTCGTGCGTTGCATGTGTGAAATGAGCGTGCGCAAGAATTTGTGTTTTTCTGTGGTTTGGATTTTCTGAGTGTGTGTGAATGTTATTTGGCTTGAGCAGATATCTGAAGTGACTCCACTGCTCAAGAGCTTTTCGACGAACCAAGAATCACTTCAATCGGAGCACGAACAAGAAAGTTACGAACGTTGGAGTTCGTATGCTTTTGATATTTGGTTGTGGTGACCATGGAGAGTTGTGGGGTTGACTCAATATGGGGTACAGACTTTTGGGGGTTGGGAAACTCGTCACTACTACTGTAGTTGCTGCCAATTGGTTGGGAGAAACCAAACCAGGTTGGCAAGTGTGGCCAAGTTGGGTTGAGGTGGATTGTGGAGGTTGGGATAGTGACAAAGGTCAAAGTTGGGTTGCCTATGGGGAAGGGAATTGTGTGGCATGGAGTTTTCTTTGGTTGGGGACTCCTTGGGACCTTCCCTCTCGTCCTCCTCTTTTCTCCTACCTGGTTTAGTGCTACTCTAACTCTCTTGTCTGCAACTCTTGTGAACTTGTGAAACTATTGTGAGTGAATTTAATTTCTATGTGGCAGCATACCCCCTGGTGCGCCGAGAAGCATAGCTCGAGATTTACTCCACCTTTCCTTCAGGGGTGAGTGTGCTCTTGACACGGACGTCCTTGAGGACAGGCAGGAGGAGTTCCAGTGTTTTCCTGCTGCTTTGCCTCATCTCGTGTCCATGCTGATTGCCCCTAAGGGAGACCCGGATGCACCAGACATCCCGACTCCTGGATCGTACGCTGAGGCGATCAAGGGTCCCTACTCCTCTCAGTGGCAGTCAGCCATAGATGCAGAGATGGCTTCCTGGAAGTGCACAGGCACCTACGTTGACGAGGTTCCCCCACCTGGGGTGAACATCGTTAGTGGCATGTGGATTTTCAGGGTGAAGCGGCCGCCGGATTCTCCGCCTGTCTTCAAGGCACATTATGTGGTTCGAGGCCTCAGTCAGTGGCAGGGAGTTGACTACTTTCAGACCTTCTCTCCCACACCGAAGATGACCACTCTTCGGGTGCTGCTGCACATAGCCGCTCAGCGCGACTACGAGCTTTACTCTCTTGACTTTAGCACAGCTTTCCTGCAGGGCAGCCTGCACGAGGAGATCTGGCTGCGCCGCCCACCTGGCTTCACTTGGTCGTTTCCTCCTGGTACCCAGTGGAGCCTCCGGCGGCCAGTCTACGGTCTCCGCCAGGCGCCTCGTGAGTGGCACGACAAACTGAGGACTACACTTGCGGCTCTTGGGTTTGCTCCTTCTACTGCCGACGCGTCGCTGTTTCTGCGCACCAACACCTCTTTGCCGCCGTTCTACATCCTCGTGTACGTCGACGACTTGGTCTTTGCCACTGCTGCAGAAGAGACACACGTGCATAGATCTGGGTGAACTACACAGCTACCTTGGCTTGTAGATCACCTGGAACAAAGCACAGTGTACCATTACCCTGACTCAGTCACACATGGTGCAGCAGGTCCTTGAGCGCTTCGACTTCACGTACTCCTCGCCTCAGGCCACTCCTCGCTCTACTCGCCACTCCTCTGTCTACTCGCCACTCGCCTTAGCTCTGCCTTTGGATGAGTCCGTAGAGCCGAGTGGCCCGTACCCAGAGCTTGTTGGCTGCCTCATGTACCTGATGACCGGCACACGACCTGACCTTGCAAACCCTCTTAGCATCTTGGCACGCTATGTTGCTCCTGGGAGACACAGACCAGAGCACATGGCTGCAGCGAAGAGGGTGGTGCGCTTCTTGTGCAGTACGTCGGGAGTGGGGCTAGTGCTTGGAGGGCGACGTCGAGTGGTCCTCATAGGTCACGAAAACGCTTCTTGGGCTGACGACCAGACTACGCAGCGGTCGTCGCAGGGTTACACCTTCAGCCTTGGTTCCGGCTCTGTTTTGTGGCGGTCTACTTGCTCTTCTTCTGTTCTCGGCTCTAGCTGTGAGGCTGAGATCCACGCGGGGGCCATGGCTGCACAGGAGCTACGCTGGCTCACCTACTTGCTGACTGACCTAGGAGAGCCGCCTCGTTCTCCTCCTGGTGTGTACGTAGACAACAAGGCCATGCTGGCCTTGTGTCGGGAGCACAGACTGGAGCACAGAACGAAGCACATTGCTCTTCGCTACTTCCTTGCTCGTGAGCTGCGGCAGCGTGGTCAGCTGCGCCTTGTTTACGTGGCCTCTGAGGCCAACACTGCTGATATCTTTATGTCAAATTATAATGTTGTGTAGGCTGTAGTGGGGTAGCCTATATGGGGTACACAATGCTAGGGTTGCTTACTTGTATCGCTTTCATTCCTTAGTCATTCATTCTCGTTTCTTCTCATGGTATCGAGCAGGTTCCCTCATTGGAACTGTTCCTAGGGACCACCAAGTCGGAAAAAAAAATTCCTGCCAGGAGTGCACTTCGCTTAGGCCCGAGTCACGCCTCGTGTGCCCTCTCTACTGTCGCGCCCGTCCTAGGCCTCCTTCGGCCCCGTCGCGTCGCCCCTAGCGGCCTCCCTCGCGCCGCCCTTACTCGGCCCGTGGCCGCCCTTCGCGGCCTGATGCCGCCCTACGCGGCACGTCGCCACCCTCAGCGGCCCGTCCCCGCCCTTGCGCTGCCCGTAACGGCACGCCGCCGACCTCCGCGGCCCCTCGCACCGCCCTCACCCGCGGCCTTGCCACCTACCCACGGGCGCGCCACCCTACCAACGGCCCCTCAGCCCTTACCTTCGGCCCTGCTGCCCTTACCTGCGGCCCCGCCGCCCTTACCTGCGGCCCTGGTGCCCTTTGCTGCGGCCCCGCCACCTTGGTGCAGCCTCGCCGCCCTTCGCTGCCGCCCCACCACCTTACCTACGGCCCCGCTGCCCTTTCCTGCAGCCCCGCCGCCCTTACCTGCGGCCCTGTCGCCTGCTGCTGCGGCCCCGCCACCTTACCTGCGGCCCCGCCGCCCTTACCTACGGCCCTGCCACCTTACTTGCAGCCCCGCCGCCCTTCGCTGCGGCCCCGCCACCTTACCCGCGGCCCCGCCACCTTACCTGCGGCCCCGCCGCCCTTACCTGCAGCCCCGTCGCCTGCTGCAGCGCCGCCCGCCACCCGAGCTGCAGAGCCACCCTGCCGCCGAGCCGCCCAGAAGCCGAGCCGCCTAGCAGCCGAGCCGCCCAGCAGCCGAGCCGCCTAGCAGCCGAGCCGCCCGCACCGCCGAGTCCCTCGAGCCGCCCTCTCCGGTAAGAGCAGCGCCTCTGTGACTACACTACCCTTACCCTACTGTTTGCGCTGCTAGTCTACTTCTGTCATGGCTACCCCTAGTGTCCTTGCTTTTGACGCTGAGGGTAGGGCCATTGACTTTGACGTCTGGATAGATGACGTGCAGCTTCTCTTACAGTGCGATAGGGCAGACGGACTCTCTTTCTTTGACCTCACCTCTGCTGCCTCTCCTGCCCCTGCTCCTGATTCTGACGCCACTGTTCACTCACAGTGGGCCACGCGCAATGCTGCTGCACGTCTTGCTGTGCGTCGCCACCTTCCTACCTCTGAGCGTGCGCACTTTAGCCAGTACAAGAGTGCTCAGACCTTGTACGACGCTGTAGTTGCACGCTACTCCTCCCCTGCCACTGCTGCACTGAGCCGCCTCATGCTACCGTACCTCTTCCCTGACCTTGCTGCCTTTCCCACAGTCGCTGACCTCATTACGCACCTCCGCACTAGTGACAATCGCTACCGCACTGCGCTTCCTGCTGAGTTTTGCGCCAAGAACCCCCCCCCCCATGTACATCACTCTCTACTACATAGTCACCCGCCTTCCTGTCTCCCTTCGCGTAGTCAGGGACCACTTTCTCTCAGTCTGTCCCACCACTCTCACTGTTGACCTCCTCGAGAAGGTCCTTCTCGCAGCGGAGAAGAGCATAGTCGCTGTAGGGGCCTCTCGTGGTGACCCGCGCACCCCCATCTTTGTGGGGTGTTCCCCCTCCCCTCTTTTACCCTCTGTTGCCTCTGCTGTTGCGGCCGACCTTGTTGGTTTGGAGTCGGTCCGTGCGGCGTCTACCCCTAGTGGGAAGCGTCGCTCTGGCAAGGGCAAGGGGGGCAGGGGCACTGGAGGAGCTAGCTGGGGCGGTGGAGGTGGAGGTGGAGGCGGCAAGGGCAGTGGGGGTGGCGGTGGGGGTGGAGGTGGGGGAGGAGGTGTCGCCAGTGGCAGTGGAGGCGGAGGCGGCGGCGGCGGTGGCGGTGGGAGCGGAGGTGGCGGAGGTGGCAGAGGTGGAGGAGGTGGAGCTGGTCGGGGTGGCGCTGCGCAAAGGGTTGGCTCCGGCAGTGGTGAGCGCTAGCAGCAACACCAGCAGCAGAGCGCTCGTGACACCCCCTCCCCTCAGCAGCTCCGTGAGTGGTACACTGCTCGCCAGCGGGGTGGGGGTGCTGGTCCGTGCACCTACGTCCTGCGCACCGGCGACCGTGCGGGTGAGCAGTGTGGGGGTGCGCACTCCACCCAGCGCTGCTTCAGTCGCCTGACGGACGCTTGGCGTCACCAGATTCCGGAGGCCACGGAGATCCTTCGCTGGGGTGAGCTGTCTAGGGCGGGGGTAGCTATCTTTGATCTTGACTTTGATGCTATTCTTGCTGCCATGTATGCTGTGTCTATTAGTGATGAGGGTGACTGTTACCGGTGTTTCCCGCCCGACCCGGGCATTGAGACTGCTGCTCTAGGTACTAGTGAGGCTGCCGCTCTAGGTGCTAGCGAGGCTGCTGCTCTAGGTGCTAGTGCGTCTGCTCCCTCAGGTGCTGGTGAGTCCGCGCTCTCAGGTACCGAGTCGGCTTCGGCCTCCCTCACCTTCACCCTCGACTCTGGGGCGTCTCGCTCCTTCTTTCGAGACCGTACCACACTCACGCCGCTTGGTCGGCCAGTTGCGGTCTCTCTGGCAGATCCCTCTGGGGGTCCTGTCCTTGCTCGCTTCTCCACTGTCCTCCCGTGTCTAGCGGCTCCCTCTAGCACCCTGTCTGGTCTTTACCTCCCCTCGTTCTCTACGAACTTGGTGAGTGGCGCTGACCTTCAGGATGGGGGAGTTCACCAGTTCACTCCTGCGAGCCACAGGTGACCCACTGCACGGACGCTCGAACGGGCCGACACTTGGCCACGTTTACTCGTCGGCCGAGGTCGAGCCTGTACACACTGACCACTGGGTCTCCTTCACTCACTGCGTCTGGTCAGGTAGTTGCGTCGGGCCAGGTGTTTGCTGCAGCGTCCAGGTCTGGTCCTAAGTCTACCCCCTGCTCGTGTCGCCGCCTGTCCCACGAGACTCTTCTCTGGCACCACCGCCTTGGTCACCCCTCCCTGCTTCGTCTCCGAGGCATGGCCTCTCGTGTCCTTTTCTCTGGTCTTCCCCGGTCCCTCCCTCCCCTTCCTCCGGGGCCTGGCCCTGTCTGCGTCCCGTGCGTCGAGGGGCGGCAGCGGGCTGCCCCTCACTCCTCCCAGTTTCCTCCGACAGAGGCCCCACTGCAAACGCTTCACATGGACGTGTGGGGCCCGGCCCGCGTCCGTGGTCAGGGTCACGAGCGCTACTTCCTGCTGGTGGTTGACGACGACTCGCGTTACACCACAGTCTTTCCCTTGCGCACAAGGGTGATGTCACTGAGGTGTTGAACGACTGGATCGGCGCAGCTCATCTCCAGCTCAGGCAGAGCTTCGGCTCGGACTTTCCTGTTCTGCGTCTGCACTCTTACACAGGCGGAGAGTTCTGCGTCTTCTGCGAGCCTTCTGTTGTGCACGAGGCATCCGCCAGACCTTCACGCTTCCGGACTCTCCACAGCAAAATGGGATTGCTGAGCGCCGCATTGGCATGGTCATGGACGTTGGGCGTACGTCCATGATGCATGCGGCTGCCCATCATTTTCTGTGGCTGTTTGCGGTTCGGTACGCAGCGCATCAGATCAACCTTCACCCCAGGGTCTCCTGGCCGGAGACATCCCCAGCCCAGCTGTGGACAGGGAAGGTTGGTGATGCGTCTGCTTTCCGTGTCTGGGGATCTCGGGCGTTTGTCCGCGACTTGTCTGCGGACAAGCTGTCCCCTCGTGCTGCTCCTTGCGTCTTCCTGGGTTTCCCCCCTGACGCGCCAGGGTGGCAGTTCTACCACCCCACCTCTTGCCGTGTTCTGTCCTCCCAGGACGTCACGTTTGACGAGTCGGTCCCCTACTACCGCCTCTTCCCCTACCACACTCCGTCCCTCCCCCGCCGCCGCTCTTCCTTGTCCCAGGTCCCCATCCGGTAGACCCCCTTCCCCCTCAGGGTCCGTCCCCTACAGGTGTGTCCCAGGTACACGCAGTCGGGCCTATCGAGGTCTCTGGTGACTATAGTGCTGCTGAGGGTGCTGAGCCTGGGGGTGCTGACTCTGTGGGTGCTAAGCGTGGGGGTGCTGAGTCTGGGGGTGCTGAGCCTAGGGGTGCTGGGTCTGGGGGTGCTGAGCCTGGGGGTGCTGAGCCTAGGGGTACTACGCCTGGAGGTGCTGAGCCTGGGGGTGCGGAGCCTGGGGGTGCGGAGCCTGTGGGAGCTGCGCGTGCTGGTGCTGTGTCCGGCGGTCCTTTAAGTGCTTCGTCTCTCCGAGAGCCACTCTCTCCACAAGAGCCGCGTGAGTGGTTTGCCCAGCGCTGGAGGCGGGCTGCTGGAGCTAGAGGTTCTTCGACTGCTGAGGTTACTGGTGCCAAGGGTCCCGGAGGTGCTCGTCGTGGGAGTACTGTAGCTGTTGGGCCTGCGGGTACTTCTGGAGCTGGAGTTACTGAGGGTGTTGTCGCTGAGGCTACTGCTGTCGTTGCTGGAGGTGCTGCTGGTGCTGCTGGAGGTACTGGAGCTGGAGGTGCTGCTGGCGCTGGTGTTGCCGCTGGGAGTACAGGTTCTGTCCCTGCTGTGATTGGAGTGGCCGCGCGTCCTCGGTCGTACTTCGTTCCCCTCCTTCAGTTGGTTGTTGGTCTCCCGCCTTCTAGTGGTCCTCCTCCTCCCTTAGAGTGTCCACTGCCTGACCCGTCACAACTACAGTTACAGCCGACCTCCCCACTGCCTGCTTTGTCTCCCTACATTGGTCCTACTGGAGGTCTTGCTGAGCGTCGTGAGCCTGTGTCTCGCCCTGCGTCACCTGTCCGTGCTGCTCGCACTAGTGGTCGCGGTTCGCGTCAGCGTCCTCATCCTGTCCCTGGCATGCAACAGATGTCTCTACGTCCGTCCACTGCTCCACTGCGTGCCCCTTTGCCTTCTCCTCCTGAGTCCTCTCTTCCTGCTCCGGCCGACCCTGAGTCGGACTCTCTTCGAGCTGCCAGTCCTACTGTCACGCGTCTCCTTGCTACTGTCGTCAGTGACCCTTCTTTTGAGTTCACTGCTGCGTCTGCCCTAGTTGCTGAGCTCGTCGACTTTGCTGCTTGTTGTCGTCTTGACAACGCTGCTAGTCTTGTCGCTGAGTCTGAGTCTGTCTGTCTTCCGTCCGTCGGGGGTGAGTGTGCCCTTGGCACGGACGTCCTTGAGGACAGGCAGGAGGAGTTCCAGTATCTGGCTGCTGCTTCACCTCATCTCGTGTCCGTACTGCTTACCCCTGAGGGAGACCCAGATGCACTTGACATCCCGACTCCACGCTCTTACGCGGAGGCGATAGAGGGTCCCTACTCCTCTTAATGGCAGGCAGCTATGGACGCAGAGATGGCTTCCTAGAAGTCCACGGGCACCTACGTTGACGAGGTTCCCCCACCTGGGGCGAACATCGTCTATGGCATGTGGATTTTCAGGGTGAAGCGGTCGCCGGGTTCTCCGCCTGTCTTCAAGGCGCGGTACGAGGCTCGTGGCTTCAGTCAGCGGCAGGGAGTTGACTACTTTCAGACCTTCTCTACCACCCCGAAGATGACCAATCTTCGGGTGCTGCTGCACATTGCCGCTCAGCGCGACTACGAGCTTCACTCTCTTGACTTCAACACTGCTTTCTTGCAGAGCAGCCTGCACGAGGAGATCTGGCTGCGCCGCCCATCTGGCTTTACTGGGACTTTTCCTCCTGGCACCCAGTGGAGCCTCCGGCGGCCAGTCTACGGTCTCCGCCAGGCACCGCGTGAGTGGCACGACACACTGAGGACTACGCTTGCGGCTCTTGGGTTTTCTCCCTCTACTGCCGACCCGTCGCTGTTTCTAGGCACCGACACTTCTTTGCCGCCGTTCTACATCCTCGTGTACGTCGACGACTTGGTCTTTGCCACAGCTGACAATGCTGGACTCGCTCACGTGAAGTCCGAGCTGCAGAAGAGAGACACGTGCACAGACCTAGGTGAGATGTGCAGCTACCTTGGCTTGCAGATCACCCGGGTCAGAGCACGCCGCACCATTACCCTGACTCAGTCACACATGGTGCAGCAGGTCCTTCAGCGCTTCGGCTTCACGTACTCCTCGCCTCAGGCCACTCCTCTGCCTACTCGCCACTCGCTCTCAGCTCTGCCTTCAGATGAGTCCGTAGAGTCGAGTGGCCCGTACCCAGAGCTTGTTGGTTGCCTCATGTACCTGATGACCTGCACTCGTCCTGACCTTGCATACCCTCTTAGCATTCTCGCACGCTATGTTGCTCCTGGGAGACACTGACCGGAGCACATGGCTGCAGCGAAGAGGGTGTTGCGCAACTTGTGCAGTACGTCGCGCATGGGGCTTGTGCTAGGAGGGCGGAGTCCAGTGGTCCTTACTGGGCACGCAGATGCTTCCTGGGCGCACGACCAGGCTACGCAGCGGTCGTCACAGGGTTACACCTTCAGTCTTGGTTCCGGCTCTGTTTCGTGGCGGGCTACCTGCTCGTCTTCTGTTCTCGGCTCCAGTTGTGAGGCTGAGATCTACGCGAGGGCCATGGCTGCACAGGAGCTTCGCTGGCTCACCTACCTGCTGTCTGACTTTGGAGAGGTGCCTCGTTCTCCTCCAGTGCTGTACGTAGACAACAAGGCCATGCTTGCCTTGTGTCGAGAGCAGAGACTGGAGCACAGAACAAAGCACATTGCTCTTCGCTACTTCCTTGCTCGTGAGCTGCAGCAGCGTGGTCAGCTGCGTCTTGCGTACCTGGCCTCTGATGCCAACACTGCTGATATCTTCACCAAGGTACTTGCGCCTTGTGATCATTAGCGCTTTTGTACTCAGCTTGGTCTTGTACATGTCTCTCCTCGCTTGCTCACCTCTTGACCTTGCTTGTACTGTTACATATATTTACACCTGCTCTTGCTTATCTAGCCTTTTATATATATATATGTACTCCTGCATGTGAACTGGCCTTGTGGCCTTGAAGTTGTGCTCGGAGTGCGTGGTGACTTTGTGATCCACCCTGAGCTTGCTTTGTTTTGTTTGACTGGTCTTGTGACCCCTTGTTCTCCCCCACTTTGCCTATGGGGGTGTGTCAAATTATAATGTTGTGTAGGGTGTAGTGGGGTAGCCTATATGGGATACACAATGCTTGGGTTGCATACTTGTATCGCTTTCATTCCTTAGTCATTCATTCTCGTTTCTTCTCACTTTACCAAGACACTTCCGCCTTGTGATCATCAGCGCTTCTGTAGGATGCTAGGTCTTGTGCCTACTTGGCCTCACTTGCTCACTTCTTGACCTTGCTTGTACTATTATCTTTTTATACCTGCACTTGCTTGTTTACCTTTATATATGATCTTGCATGTGAACTGGCCTTGTGGCCTTGATCTTGTGCTTGGACTGTGTGGTGACGTTGTGATCCACCCTGAGCTTGCTTTGCTTTGCTTGACTGGTCTTGTGACCTCTTGTTCTCCCCCATTTTGCGTATGGGGGTGTGTCAAACTTATATGCTATAGTCTATGAAGGTTGTAGTGGGGTAGACAATATGGGGTACAACATTTCTAGGTTTTCCTACCTGTACCCACCTGCTTGCTAGTTCATTCATTCCTCCTCATTCTTCACATCGTGTGAGGTCATTTTGCAGGGACGAGCGTTCTGCCGTCTGCGTCGTGATTTCCTCTGCGCTCTCGCGGATTCGCCGCAGCAGATCGTTCAAGTGCTCCTGCGTGAGCGTCGTGATATCAATGTGCTCGGCCATTTCGAAGGGTGTCGGCTCGTCTTAGTCTAGGCGCAGTCGTGGCTGCACGCATTTATGAAAGAACGCGAGGACAGCGGCTACTAGGTGCTAAGGTGCGTGAGTCCCTTCGAGTGAAAAATCAAAAGTTGATTTCTTGGGGTGCGGAGATGCGCGGTCCGAAAGAAAGGGGCTATGAATAAATAGTGTTACGGGTGCAATGAATCGAAGTAGCGAGAATTGCTCTAAGGTGTCAAACGAGTACAAAGATGTGAGCGAAGGCGTGAGCGAACATTTATATGCGAACATGCAAACGGTAACGCGGTGCGTGCGAGCGAGCTAGTGCTACGTTGGCAGCGAGGCTCGGGCTAGCCCTGAAGCGTAGGCCGACACGGCCGGGTCAGCAGTGCGAGGTTTGGCAAAACAGTGCGCGTGAAGTTGGTGAAGTCCCGTTATCAGTAACGGGCGAACATCGGCTGTTGCTGTACGCGATGTAGTCGCGCTCGGTAAGGAATGCCAAGAAAATTCCTTACAATACCTCACTGTTCCACTTATGCTGAGAAAAATGATACACTTGATCAAGCTTATGATGAAGTGGAAACAAAGCGGTGGTGAATGGTTGGAACCTAATCGGCAATGATATGTTGGTGGTTCTTGAGAGATTCTGGCGCATTTTGAGCAGCAATAGCCCTTTTCCTGAACCAGTGGCCCATTCAACTCCTACGTGTAAACGCAATCAACAACTTGTAGGTCGAATGGCCTGGAGAAGGCAGCACACACGTGTCCGATAAATTCTCTGTGTACATGTCATGTGCAGAACCTTCGGACGCACGCTCTACAGATTGTGGCGGGACAATGGTGTGATTTAGGCAAATTTGCGGACGGAATTTGAGGCGCTCGAATGCAGGGCTGCTCCCTGGAACTTATGATGGAGCAAAAGCTGGGAGCAGTCGCTGCTACGTGGCTTCTCCCAATCTGATGGGAATGCTGTTCAATTTAGCCAGTTTTTGATTCTACGTACATAAAATGAGCGGCCCTGGAGCTGCCCGTGCGTTTCTATTTTAGGTCCTAAGGGGCTTTCGAGGGGGCCAACACGTGCAAACAGTTAAGTTGTCGTTATGATAGACCGTCTTGGTTACGTATATATAATTGCCTGGGCAGAAACTAGTTTCTCTGCCTGCGCTACCACACTACTGGAACTAGAAACCACAACCCAGCATCTGGCTTCTTACGTAAGATATTCTGAAGATCACAAATCTACATCCGGCTGCTAACTTAAGATCCTGAGGAATGGACTAAAAGCCGCGCATTTTGTGTGAAACGCAAGGCTTTTCAGCCCGGACCGGTGCGCACAACCTATTGGAAATAAATACAGGCTGTTCTCCCTAAGGTCAGTGTAGGTAGGGAAAGCATACACTGACAAAATAAAGAACTATCTGGGTGTCGAGCCAGTCACTGGGGGAGTGAGGGAATCACGTGTTGACAGTTAATCAACACCAAGCATGCGGGAATGCCCAACGAACTCAAATGACTGGATGGAAATGGAGGGAAAGTCGACCGAGGCAGTTGGCTAGGACACGATAGGCTGTGGGAAGAATCTCGCTTGACGTTCAGCATGAGGGGATTCCGGCGACGGACGGTCGACATGAAAGCGCTTGGATTCGCACCACGCTCACGAGATCACCTGACTGGTTCACCGAAGGCAGCGGGAGGGGGGGCGAGGAAAACCTCTGGACATCCGACGCGGAAATCTTTCTCAGTGAGCGCGACGCGAGATCTGAGGCAACAAAACCCCATGTCCACAATCTTCCCACACCTCCTTGTTCACCCCCTTCCTCCCTCTCTTGGTCCCCCCCCCCCAACCCAATTCTCCCGCCCCCCCCCCACCGAATCCTAATCGCTCTGTCCGCTCTACCTTCCATCCAGCAGATCCCCATTCTCCCATTCATTCCCCTTCCCCCATTCCTCTCTTCCATTTATTGTTTGCTGCTGTCATCCGCTGACTGCTTTGACACAACTGATCGGAACATATCGCTCACTACGATATTCCCTGCAATGAGATTCCAGTTGGGTGTCCTTAGCGTTGTTAGAGACTTATCCTGAAGCCCGTAGTTCAAACGTATACAGACGTCCGCAACTTCTACGAACTATTCTTTAGAGTGGAATTACCGCAATAGGAAGAAACTAACCCGCTAAACGAGTGCGGACCCGCTACATTAGGGCCCGCTAAAGGTGGTCAGGTTTGTTCACAATCATGGATTCGAGGTTCCAAGCTCCCCCATTACTCCATCCAGCCAGACCCGCCAGCGATATACGTATTTTCGAACCCGCACATCCTAGAGCACAACCCGCAATATCCGGTGCACAGACCGCATTCTCTGACTACTCAACATCCGCCGCATGTCCCGACATTTCACGCTCCAGCACTAATTCCGACGCGAATCTCGCCGCCATGCCAGCACTAGACCGCCGGCCAAGTTGCAGCCGTGTACTCGCTGACGTGGAAATGGCGGCGCTGGAGGGCAAACTGGCTCTTCTCGAGTCGCAGCGGCAGCTCAGCGCCGTCAAGTGTCGCATCTTCGTCGACATGATGGAATCAACTATGCAGTGCGCCGAGGAG